TACTTGTACTTTTACTTAAGTATTTTTTGTGGTACTTTAAACAACACTGGTATTTATTTGTTTATTTTTACTATTTTTACAGAACAATTTACAGTTCATATCACTAAACTTTGGATCTGAGTATTTAAATGTATGATCATTGTCACAGAATGATCTTTGCTATTATTTTATAAAAAGTATGTTATATATTTTTTATTTTCTTACCCAGAACTGTGAGTTTGGTTCCTGAGCCAAAGTAAGCAGGTTCGTAGTTGTTCACACTGAAAACAGGCTTGATTAAAACTGCAGAAGCTGTCAACACTGAMGGCTTTTCTTCTTTTTTCACTTGAACAAAACATGTTTTTGTGCACAACTGCTCATCAGAAACACAAATCTGATGAACTGATTTTTTTTGTGTTTGTTGTTTAAAATGGGATTTTAAAGAGATTGAAAACTAAAACTGGAAGATATGAAGTGATTTTTAATTTCCATCCAACAAACACAAAAGCACATGAATTCAAAGTTTTCTTTTTCTTTTTTTAGCCAAAAAATTGTTTATTTCCAGCTCCACACACAAACAATTTCAAAGTTTCTTCTGTAGTTTGTGTGTTATTTGATCTGATGTGAAATTGTGTCTGTCTTCTGTCCTTGTATTCTACAATTAAAACTTTACTACATTTTACAAGTTTGAAGATTTTCTTACCTAAGATGGTTAACTTTGTTCCTTTACCAAAATAAGCCTCAGAGGCAGAGACACAGAGCTGAACAGATCTGCCTTTTACCTGCTTTAACTTTGAAACCATTTTCAAAATTATACAAATAAAAAGCTCAAAAGCTGACGACCCGTCTTTACTGACAGACTTCAGTTTTTTTTTTATCTTTCTTGGTATTTTATGTCCTGAAGGTTTTTTCTGGAATTGATTAGATTTGGAAACAAGAAAACACCCAGCTGCACTTCAGTAGATTTGATTACAGTTTAAATTTTTAAAGGATTTCTTACCTAAAACAGTTAGTTTTGTTCCWKCWCCAAAGWAAGCTTCAGTAACACCACCGGAGTCACAGTGAACAAGATCAAAACAACTAAACTGCTGCGTATTGATTTCAGTTTTTCTGCTCTAGTCATTTAAACTTTGGTTACTAAATCAGTTTTATAAAAACGTTCATGATAACACAAATAAGACCAGTTTTGATTGCTTTTAAAAGCACACATGTTGACTTAGTTTTGTTTATCTCTGTGTGAAAAGCTTTACAGCAGTTTTTTAAAAATAAGATCTCTGATTAGAAAACTGTTTTCATTTTTTTTTTTCTCAGATCATCACCGGTTGCTTTAAAGACCGTTCAGAATAAAATTCATGTTCTTACCTAAAACAGTTAACTTTGTTCCAGCTCCAAAGTAAGCTTCATAACCAGAGGCACAGTGCTCTTGAGCAGAGTTAAAAACATACAAGTGCTCTGATCTCACAGCTACAGATACTCGTTTTTAGCTGCTGTTAGGTGTTTTTAGCATTAAATAAAGACACTTACCCAGAACAGTCAGTTTTGTTCCCTGACCAAAGTAAGCTTCGTTCAAACCAGAGGCACAGTGTTCATAAGCAGAGTTAAAATCATCCCAGTGCTCTGATTTTACATGCTA